CATTTTTAACCGAATTTAAAAAGGAGGAGGTTATCAATTCCGATGTTTATAATTTTTTTATGTATGTTCGGGCATTACTCCGTCACATATAAACGAATTTCATAAAAAAAAATGTACGAAAAGGGTTTTCTCCGAAATGGTCCCATTATAATTTCATTTAGATCTGATGATAAGTGTAGGGGACAGACAATGGAACTCTTCAAAAAATGACAGCAAATCAACCACGATTGCCGCTATCACATAAACATGCCTTGTTTACGCAATCACACAACATAACATTACGCCTGCACACTCGAAAGGGATACGCAGATCTATTTAGTATAACAGAGTCCACCCACATTTTCATATTTTTTCGCGACTGGAAGTAAGTTTAATTTTTAGTGCTCTTTGTTAGTATTGTTTGAAGTCGGTTCAGCCTTTTAAAAAAAAAATGTTTTTTTTCATACTCGTTGTTAGAGGTAATTTGAAAAAAATGCTGGAATAAAACCACCGATGGGTGAGATTTTCTTTTTTATAATGTTGACGGACAACCTGACAATATTAGGTAAGCCGCGAGTATGAGCCAGTCACGGTATAAATTGCTTTCCCTTATACACGAATCGTCTACTTTTATGCTTACAATAGAAACAGCTTCGAATGATATTAACCATCATTACCGATATTGTTATATTTATTAACCATTAACAGCTGTATGTATATCGCAGTTATCATATCATGCGCTATTTAATTACGGCTTAAATAAATATGTAAGTTGGGACTCGTAATGAGTTAACCTGTTAGTTGACTGGTTATGTAAACAATATTTCTGGATGTTATTGAGATTTGTTGTAATGAGGATTTAGCTTTAATTGGTTTTAATTATAAGGTAATGTAGTTAATTAACCCTATGTACGATTAGACGATTGTAAGATATTGAAAGTAACGCTTCCGACTGAAAATCAAACAACGCACAATTACTGAAATACTTGTGAACACATATACATAATATAAATAGAACAGAAGAGAATGGAAAAATAACACCAAAATCATATTTGTTAAATTAATACACAAGGAAAAGGTTGATAACATTCTAAGAATAAAGGTTTTGACTCTTGGTTAATTATTTCAAGTAAACAGAAATTATCATTGCAACTTAAAAAGGTTTAGATTGACTGCTATGGCTTTGGGAATCGGAATACAGACAGGCGTCGTAAGCGCGTAGCAGACTTATCTGCTACTGTGATTGATTGACTGATTGTCTCTGTTGAATTATGCCGCCAAAATAAGATATCTAGGAGATAGAAAATATAAAGTGAAGTAAGTATAATGTCTGGCTACAATCAATCCGTCCGTAACAAGACAAATAAAATTAAAAGCGCAGCGGTTCGACACGGCTGGGTAGGCGTACACTGCTCCCTGCTCAAAATATAATTATAATTAAGTTGACCATAAAATTATACGCTACATAATTACATAATAACCTTCATAAACTTTAATTTCATGGCAATTAAAATGAATTACAAGACACTAGATTTTGCCCGAGTCTTACTTCCTGCTAAAGTTATTCTGACGTCCCTGGAGTACGGACTGTTCTCTCTCTGTTTTTTCGGGATGACAGGTAGGTATTTTGTTTTTATATAAATGACGTGTATGACAATCTTCAATCTTTTATGATAATCTGTTTAGTAGCTAAGGTGGGACAGCCTTACAAATAAACTAACTCACATTCGAATTTTTGATATACACAAGAGTTTGTAGAATTAAAAGTCAGTACCATAAGCTAAATTTCTTATCAGAGGAAATGACTTCAGTTACATCATGTAATAGCGACATATCGTTTGTTCTGCATCATTGTACATTTATAAACAGTCTTAGCATATTATAGTGCGGTGAGATAACAGACTGTATTCAGTACTGTACTCGGTGTAGTGAGGCTTGTGCGTCGGTTGCCTGGCAACGGTTCGACGCCAGAGCACGTCTAGCGCCGGGACGCTGCGGCCCTCCTCGTCGTCAGTGTCGCTCCTAGTTCCGGCAGAACACCCCACATACTCCCAACGAAATGTACTTCGGAGATAATATTTTTGTACAAGTGTAAAGTAAATTAAAATTCAAATTGTAGAAGTGTTTTCTCAAGATGTTATAGTGAATTATGAGTCTATAAGTGAAAAAGACAGTGTTGTGCGTAAATGTGATTGATGTGAAAAAATCGGGCGATTAATGATAATTAAAAAAAAAGATATCTCTTTAATTTTTTTTAAGATAAAATGAGTACAGCAAAAGTATTAAATATATTTTCCCGATAACAGTTCTGCGAAAAGATAAGAAGATACACTGCCTACTAATTCAATTATTTTAAATCATCTCATAATATAACCAAGTTAAAAAAATAATCGTAATAAGTACCTCTTTTAGAAAGTTTCATTTCAAAAGATATTCTAAGAGATGCTTAGATGTTTCAATCAGTCGGACTAAACGCGGCTATTGAAAGCTAAAAAGCAACCGCAATGAAAAAAGTCGCGCAGCTCCAGCATCTTAGTGACCGCTGAATATCGCTCACATGGCGATCTTTTATTTAGATGAGGCACACCCCCGAGGTTATTCACCCTCGCATGTTCTGCTCGTGCTTTATGGGAAAGGTCAAGGTTATATTTTTGTATCGTCATTATCTAGTTTGCAAATAAAAGGTTAAGGATTAGTGCCGTTTTTGTAAATGTATTGATAGTGTTTGAAACAGATCACTACCGCAAAGATATCATCATAAACTTTGATGTTGTCAGTGTGATTATAGTCACAATGCAGTGTGTATGCACGGTTGTCGCAGTGCAGCGGTAGGGGCGCGGCGCCCCGTCCGGTCGCGGACACTCTTCGTGCCCACATACCACCCTGCTTGCGGTGAAGCACTCTTTAAGACAGCCTTTGTTTTTATAACACACACAGAGATCACAACCCTTTTTAACTGCGTATTCTACACTTTTTGGACGCTACTTTTTCAGTACAACGCTTTTGTTTACAATATAGCATCTGTATAAATTATAATTTTGAACGATTAAGGAGTAGGTTAAAATAGGTAGGTTTTATTGTAGTAAAGACGATTAAATAAGTCGTTAATTAGATGTCGGCAAAAGACAATACGAAATTAATGAACTCCAAGAATAGCACGAAGGCCGATGAAGATGAGATGTCGTGTAGTAAAAGGTGTGGACGCGACTCGTGCGCTGCACCGTCTAGCGTTCGCTATATGGCGCGCTGTGTTTTATCTCCAACGCGCGCCGCAGCACGCTGCACGTCGACGCTCGCGCAGCCAGAATGGACACACAAGCGTGCGCCCTGCGGTTTGTATTTTTTATAAAAGAGGGCCAGTCTTTACAATTCTCTACTTTCTTACGATAATATAATTTACTACGAATATAATATACTACGAATAATAATTTCTTTTATTCGTAGCAATATAATGATGAAATTAATGAGGAGTGTGATAAAATAAACAAAAATTAAAAAGAAAAATTGGTTGAGGAACAATTTCATTATATTCCTCTTACATTTTATATTATGTGTTAGGTACCTATTTCTTGTTTTTGACATACATACCTACTTGCTAAAAAAATATACATATATAAGCTTACGCTGACCAATGATTCGCTTTAATCCAAAAAGCACGTGTTAATAAATAAAATAGAACTGGTGAACTAGGTTTTATTATTATCTCTATTTAACTTGTTAAACAAAAATAAAAACGGCTCTGGATATTGAATAAAAAATAAAATTATGCTTAAGTTTGATTTGGCAACGTATAAAATTTTCGTCCTAAAATAATTTTTTGACAACACGTTACGAAATGATGTCGTCTTGATGTCAAAGAAATAGGTATTTTGTATAAACTTGTCAATTTCAGAAAAATGTGGAATTAATCCAATTAGGCAATTCGAAAAATAATTGTGTAAATAATATCGAATAACCCAATAAACCCACTTCACTTCACACAGCGACATTATTGAATAATAACCTGCACTTTGTCTCTATCTAATGCAATAACAACCCGCAGTTTTATAATCAACGTATTAACATTTTCATTTTACAATTTATTTATAGTTTTGAAAGTTTGCTTTTTGGCATGTTTAAAAATTTTGTAGTTTTATTGAACATTGACTATTAGTTATTTAATTACCACTCTTGTAGTCTAGATACGAGTATAAATTTGTATAATCCATTATAATTACGCTTAAACTAAAGATGCCAAAACGATTAATCAGATTTACATGTAGCAATAGTTTAGTGTGACTATAGTAGATATTTAATATAATAGCCATAAAAGCTGCAGTAATCACTTAAGGCGCACCCAGTGGAGTGCTCATTTTGTCAGCTATATTGAACGCAATCTGACCATCGGCATCACTCCCGCTCGCGATACTCTGTGCTACTAGCTGTAGGTACACTAGACTGCAGGGTAGGGTAACAATAACTTTGTTCAATTACGATCAACAATAAAACTTTATAAAGCATTGTATCCAGAAATAGAAACGTATTCGCAGCCACTGTTCCGATTTAAATGTCTCTGACAATATACACTATTTGTGTGTCTTACAATTGATTAGTTTTTTATCAATTGAAATAGACAACAATCTCTACAACTTTATTAAATTGAACTGTCACAGTAACTAAACAATCTAAATGTAGTGCCTTCTTGATTCAAATTAAATTATAATATCAAGACGCTAGAGTTGCGCAACGGGTAGCAGATAGTGAAATTAAATGCATTCCTGAACACCACACACCAACCACATACGCAGTACACACTATACAGTAATATTTCTGTGAAACGAAATCCCATCAAGCCAGCGCGCCGACTTTGAGAAAAAACTGACGAGGATTAAATTACTACTTTTGATTTCATATTAATGACAGTCGACCTCGAGCTGCGTGTTTCAAAGACTGATTTCGCAACTAGAAATAACAATAATACCTTTACAAATACACAATGGACGGTTAAAAGTCATTTACTTAATTTTGTTTTATTGTTTTAGACTCGAGCCGTAAGTGCGCCGGCCACTCCAGCCTCAGCCACGTTTTTAAGGGAACAGGTAACTAGTTTTTTTCTACCACTAAATCAATTGTGAGCAGTAAATCTAAGCTGCGTTTTTTATTCCTTAGGGATACACAGATACGTATTAAAAGGCCTATATTTTGCCGACATACATAAATATAATCCATTTTAATTTATTTAATAATACACAATGAACGCTTAAAAGATTATATACCTATACATAAACATATATATTTAAAAAACATAGATACATATCATAGATAAATTCCACTCAGACAGAAAAAACGACCATCACTCAAAATTTGTCCTGGTTCGATCCCCAAAACCCACGATCTCTGACTTAGCAGTCAGGATCGCTGAATCAAACTCAAACTCAAACTCAAAACCGCACGCCGTCTCGGGTACCAGTAGAAGGGAAACCAGGTGTACCCTACAAAGGAAATCCCCGGTACCCCGACGTACCTTGGGCCATCTACGGCGTGTTGATGACCCCCTCCTGTGTAGGAACCCTCATATTCCCTATGTGCTCCCGAAAGGGCGGGCGCGCTCCGCAGCAGCCTGACCCCGGCCTGCTTCTGGTAGGGTGACAGATGGCGTCACCTGTCACCCCCAGGCCTGCGCTTATGGAGGACGGAGATCGTTCTGCGACCTCTGGCGCCTAAGTCGTCTGCAGTACCTAGCCTGTTCCCATTCCTAGCGGGCCGGAAGAGTTCTAAACCTCTCCCGGTCCCGCTCCGCCATCTCCTTCGCAAGCATAACTCACTTGCAGAAGGAGACGGCGGAGTTCCAAGCACTCTCGCTCCGTACCATGGCGGCAATCATATTACCGAGCGAGAGGACTCCTACTCCGTTGGCCACCACGAGGTCACGACTCTGTTTCACGTACGTGAACGTATGGAGCGCCGTGTCCACGGTCCGGCCACCGGAGTGGTGGCACTCAAGCGTTAGCTCCTTGCGGATCACAGGTGACCTCCAAACATCCTTCCCCGGTGATCACCTGCGTCAGCCGCTATGAGAGGGTTCCGTGGCGCCTATCGCGCCAATCCTCCATAACGGGTATTACCGCTGCAATAACGTCGTGCCCGGCCTCGCAGCCCCTGGTAGAAATTATGCAAAATCAATTCCTGTTACAGAAAATCAATGTCGCTACAACCAACCTCGTACCTTGGGCTTAAATGAAGCCTATTTAAATTTCAACGTTAATATAACGGCTTGTTAGTTGACTTACCTACCCACATTTTTAACTCAGCTAAGAGTTCACTTTTTAAGGGAACGAGTAAGTATCGGGAACTCAAGTTCTTCAGTGTAATTGAAAAATACATTTTTTTGTGAGCCTGCTTTTGTAAAATTATACTGTTTACAGATTTCGCTTGCACTGCGTGGTTACTTGTTCTTTCTTTAAATCTTGATATTAATAAATTCATAACAATATTTTTTTAATTTAATCTTATAAGGTACATACACTAAGAATATATAGATTTTGTATCAAATTAATTTTAAAATCTGACAGCCTGCTCTTTCTTTAAATGTCTAAAATCAGACATAAGAACTTTGTGTAGGTTTTGATTAATATTGACTACCAAAAACACCGAGAATTATCGGTATATTATTATTATTATCTTCTCTGCTACTTATAGTTCAAATATCTCCTTGTATCTAGTACACAGTATATGTAATTTGATATAATTATTTATTTGATCACATGAAAGTATGCGTTGGTGAAACAGTAGATAGGAAATAGAGATTAACGTTCCGTAATTTTAGCAATTACCTTTAATCAACCGTAATAAGCCATCTTATAGGCCATCAATACACATAAATGTCTACGAGCTCAAATAGCCTTAATTTACATCACATTGATAGGCTTACGCAGTGACTATACTAATCGGATTAAATGCATTCAAGTGAAATGTGCGGAGTACGAAGCTCTGTGTCGCCTGCGCCCACGCAATGTTCAACATACATTCACAGAAATATATTACACCTATGCTCTCGTGTTGACATAAACATTTTAAAGAAAGTTAAATTGAGGCTTTTCTTTAAGCCGTCAATTTTACTATTCAAGAAATAGTTTATTGTATCAACGCTTCGAAATATACAAAGCGTGAAATTCTACCTTATATGTCGGGACTTAATTTTTTATAGCGGAAATAATAACAAGATTAGCCACGTCGGATCCGACAACTGTTTACAAATCTTTCATACTCCACACCCGGTAGAGTAACACGTGTTATACCCGCTAGCTTAATTTAAAGGACCGAAATAGCTTCTTGTACAGACAACGCGGTTGATAAAGTCCAAATCTTTTACACTTTAAAACAGTATAGTTAATATATTTGGTACTAGCTAATTAGCAGCAGGTATTTATTTATTTTTACGGTCAACCGTTTTTGTAATTATTTTCTTTTCAATAAAAAAATCGCCTTAGTTTTGCCCCGTCTACGCTTGGCTTAGTATTTTTTTTTTATATAAAATATTCCCTGTGTCCTTTCAGTCTTTTGGAAACACGTGTGCAAAAGAACCTGCCGATTTTTTTAAAAAGACAACTCCGGCTTACACCACTGCGCCATCCGTGCACACCAAACCGAATTTGACTGAAATTCGGTTTGGTGTCTTATTATATTTAGATGATTTTTCTATAACATGTATGTACTTTGAAATATGTAAGTATGTATTTTAATTTATAATATACCCCATTGACGACAATTGGCTTGGCTCCTATTACGTAAGTAGGAAGTAAAATTGATATATATGGTGGTATATAGGCTTTTAATACGTCTCTGTCTACGCCTTCGAGGAGAAAGACCCGAGTGTTTGTGTGATTAACAACTTATAGTATTCTGATTTTGTCTCTTATTAGTTTTTACGTGCTAATGTTTTGTATTACAATTCACTCTAATTATTAAATTTAATTATTATTATTGAAATTCAATTATGGCAAACATCTTTTATAGATCGCTACTTGATTCAAGGTTTAATTACTTACACCCACACTCTATACAGTTAACTGTTATGATTTATGTTTGGCAGTTGCCAACATCATGGAACTCTTTGTGTCGCAACTAGCAATGCAGACCTTTCTCTTACAGTATAAATAATTATAAAGCATTCTTTTATTTTATTTTACGTGGTGTGTTCTACAGAGTGGTTCCCGGTCAGCAAGTTACCCCGGCGGTAGTGGCACGAGATTGGATCTTTGCTATGTAGCCGAACGTATGTTAGCGTTACACCTACCTGAACGAGATGCACATGCAGAAGCTCAAGCAGCGCATATGCTCACCAACAAACATGGAGAACATTTCATGGTGTGTTTCGGTACTTTTAACTCTATTCTAATAAGATAGGTTTTTTACTATATTTATGACCAGGGATCAAATATCACCGACTATAACTAAGATGCCTAATGTTAAATGTGCGTTAATGTTAGGCACTATCTTCACTGAGAATTTAAACTGTTTAGTCCACAGATTTCTTGAAAGATTCAATATCGGAATAATATTTGAAGCATATTCTGTCACCTAGTACTGACCACATTCTGAATCTTTCTTGCTAGCAGTCGGTATATCTTTGTCTGGACAGAGACTTCATCTACATATATATCATGGTCTTGGTGGGTTATAAATCCTACAAAGACCAAGATAGCTTAAGAATCAAAGCCTTAGTAATTGAAAGAGGAGTCGATATACTTAATCGATAGTGCGAATTGCGATACACAACATAAGACTCACGACTGTTTTTTGGTAAATTGTGTCCTTGTCTTAATGTCGTTATATCTGCTTTAAAGAAATAGGCTTGATCTTGCTTAAGAATTACATTTAACGCTTCTGCTAATTCCAGTGTAGTAAGGTATGGACTTGAATGCCTATTTATGGCCAAGACTAGTTAAAATTTTGCAATAATATCCAAATAAGCGCGCAGTGTGTGATTTGTGAGAACAAACAGTGATTATATTGTATTATTGTAACTCGTAAACAGTGCCTAAAATGGCACATAAAACGGAGACACGAATGTTGTTGTAAATCTGAAGTTTATTGCTGCACGTAGGCTTGAACGTCCGTTATGCGCTTAATGTTGCCACTGATTAGATCTGACCCGTATCATTATCTTCGTCTTTGTCAGAAGTCAGAGGTCGTGCTCAGTTCTAATCTAATAAGTAGATTGCAACATTAATATCAAGATATGAGATCCTTAAGATATTATATAAGCATTTCTCTACCACATACAAACATTGTTGTAAACACAGAACACGATATTGACTTTAAGCCGTTATTATTTATTTCCTAGCAAACCTGAGCAGTCGGCTTTTTTTATATTACTTCTTTAATGTAAAGACACGATCCTACAAAACCCACGAACCATGAATATTTTGATTAGATAATGTTGATATGACAGCAAATAAATTAGACTTTGCCTTTCTTTCAGGTGTTTGAAGTAAGCGGGGGTGAAAGTGATGGTGGTCGTCTAGCACGTGAAGTGTTCGGCCGCGCCCGGTCACTTGGTTGGGCTGGAGAGTTAGCGCCGCCACTAGAACGACTCTGTGCAGCCTGCAAACACATAGAGAGCTGGCTAGCGGCACACCCAAAGAATGTTGCCATATTACTAGCTTGGTAAGCACTTTTTCCTATGTTGTAATGATAAGACTTTTTTTTTCTTGATGTTCCTTTAATACGTAGATGAATAAAAAGAAATAGAAGAATAACATTATCAAAATATAAATTAAAATATCCTTTTCTCGTGGATGCTTTAAACCATTATGCAATCAATTGAACCTACTCTTTTACATTACAGGGGCAATCGAGAACGTCTGGGCGTGTTGGTAGCGGCGTACATGCACTACTCAGCAATATGCGGCGCGCCAGAACATGCGCTTGACAGATATGCGATGAGGAGATACCTTGATGATAGAGTACCTATTTTCCAACTACCCTCTAATAAACGGTAATTTAAACACCATTATTTTGTTGTAAATAATAAGGTAAACTTCTTTTGTTGCCATTATAATGTTGAACATTGAATAGAATGCAATTATGATGTTTGCGGCATGAGAAATTTAAACATTTACTCACGTTCATATCCTGAAGAGATAGGGTGTTAGATTGAATACTCGCGTTTTATACAAGAACACTATAGTTTTTTTCCAGTTAAGTAATAGGAATACCTAAAAAGGGAAAAAAATGGAAGTAAAGAGATGTTGTTTAAAATGAATCAGTTTAATCGACAGCTCGAGTAGGTCAGGGTCAGGTAAACAAAAATTGACTGCAATATTGGCTTTTGACTGCACGGATGGCTTAGTGGTTAAGGCGGTCACCTCGCCGCCTTCTACTGCGCTGAGTGTAGTGTGTTCGACCCCCACATGGAACAATACTTTGTGTGATCCATAAATTGTTGTTCTGGCATAACCACGATCTTTTCTTCTCTGAGGTGACTGATTGATTCCGACATAGTGTGGATTACTGCGATTAATCTTATCGAATTTAAAGATAATAACAATTCCCATCCTAGATGAGAAAATCTTAATAGAGTTTGTTTAGAATGAGTATTTTTATACATACGACTACAGGTAACTTTAACCTTATGAGAGCTCTGCTTTGATACAAATGGACCGACTCGACCGGAGTGAGTGCTCTACGGTCTCACAGAAAACCGGTGTTAAGCTATTCTTTAGTTGCTTTTGTGTTTTAGTAAGGTTACCGTAGCCCAAACCCTACATCCCCCTGATGCTGCCCATGAGCGGCGGTAATTATTTACCATCAGCTGACCCGTCTGTACGTTTGCCCTCCTATACTATAAAAAAGACTTTAAAACCTCGCCTATGTTTTAAATAGAGTGATGTACAACTATGTTTTGGAGTAATTCTGTATTGCTGTAATCCAAATAAGATCGTCGAACTGTACTCTAGATATGAGAATTTACTTGCTTCCTACGATGACATAAACCAAATCATTATTTACGATTTACCAGATGTTGTATTTGCCTACAGGTATATTGACACGTTTGCGGGACTTCTTGCTGGCCAGATCAGAGTAAACGCTGCACCTTTGCATCTAACGCATGTTAGCGTAGCTGGCTCGCTCGCTTCTACGGCCACACCGACCATCGCCTTTCTTAAGATATACGAAAACTTTGTCTGTGTTTATACATCAGGTACTCATTTTATATATAAATACTTTTTAATTTTACTTTTCCCAGGCAACCAGAAATATAAATAAAAATATATCGAATACATTATAAAGATCACATAAAATATAAAATTTGTTGGGTAATATGAACAATACGATAAGAAGAAAAGTATCCTTGCGGAAATCTTGCGCCAATTCACTTGAAAACCTTGTGACATTTGATAAAAATTGAGCACTAAGTTTAACTACTAAAACGCGTAAAGTATTAAAACTTGAATACGTCATCTACATATCTGCTTGATCGCGGACTAAGCACTTTAATTTTGATTAAATACATTAAATGTTTTATGTTTGCCGCAGGATTGTACATGGTAAACGGAGGTGGCTGGACGGTGGGAGTTGGACGTCTGGCGTTACGGGGTGACGTGTTGGTGCGCGCGTACCGGCGCCCAGCAAACTCGCACCCCGCGCGGCGCCATCTAGTGTTCGCTTGTCAGTTCCATACCTGCGCTGTGGCCGATCACACGCTGTCCTTCACTAAGCAGCAACTAGATCATGCTGTGCACGGTAAACTCAATGCACCAACTTGATCAATACCGGAGGTAGACTTTAGATTTCTGTAAGCTGTGTACTTGTTTTATAAAAAGTTTCGAAATTATCAGAAATCTAAAAAAATAACTAATCTAACAGTGTTCGCTTAATTTTATTAATGTTATCTAAAAGTGAAGATATTTTTGTGATATCTTTGAATCTCAGTTAGGTCATGGCTACCTAATTTTGTAACGTTGTCCTTTCAAATATCAATAAATTTCATTGTATAGAAAAGGACTAAGTTTTGCCGGATTCTTTGAATTTTTAAGAACATTTTTCACCTTTTTTTCTTCCTCTAAAAACCGTATTCGGACTTATACTACTCATACTATACTACTTATATTACTCATATTTAGAAGTAGCATTAAACTAATAACTATAGCAGTTCTTAAGTGAAGCGCTTAACAATCAAGAGCATTAAATTTTATCTATCGATAGACTATTTTATATTCAGATTTTATAGACACTAATTTAACCGAGGTTAGTTCTGTGAAAAAATTAGGTATATAAATTATGCAGCATACCTTCGTGATATGATAGGAAACGTAGGATATTAAAAAAAAAATAATAGAACAGACCTGCTCAAATCTAGAGCCTATTCTCCGGACCTTCAAAAATCTTACTCAACCAGAAGTGTATTGTTACCACTGTTCGATTTCTACAGTCATATTAAATTATCGTTACTTTTGTATTATGGGAATTTCACATTCCAATCTTGTAAATAATACTGGTATTATCCTATTTGTGCTATATCTCTTGGATTGTTTATATGGAAAGTGCATATCTACATTGATCAAATACTAGACCCGCAGGTATTAACAGTTTGTAGCCCTAAATTTTAAACTGAATCATGGTAATAATACATCAATGATTAACATAATTCACTCCTTATGTCGAATCTGACAGATGAATGTAAAAAAATACCTTTACTGTATCATTTTTTTTCTTTCTTAACTAAGTGAATGATTTCGTTCTTTTTATTAATCCTTTTTGTGTATAGACACTTGATATCTGTTCACATTCTCGCTTATACAATACGCTTATACTGTCCGTAAATGTGAAATGCCAAAAATCACCAAATTGAAAATTATTCATCGACTTACGAAAATACAATGCAACAGTTATTCTCTTAAGAATTATAAAATGTTTATACCTTTTTGATAGCTCTTTAGGTTATAGGTGATAAGATGACAAGGTAGGTATACTCCAGATCAACAGACAGATCTGTGTGATTAAATTATTAAAGTTTACTCATTGTTTGGCTGGGCCACTGATCGAAACAAAACTATTTTTTTAAACTCATTAAAAAATCTTTGTTATGTTTCTTCTTGGGGTCGTTGAAAATAATATGTATGTAGTTATATCCTACTATGTTTGATATAATTATCATTAGTATTATTTAAAGACATTAGGTCTCTATCTTCGATTAATATTACTTTGTTAATCTGGGAGTACTTCACAAAAAAAGATAGTTTGTAATGACAGCCCATCAATTGTCCGATGTAAAATATCGACAGTACTGAACTCCCAAAACTTTGACAATGTTTTGCAAGCCCAGTGCACCTTTTTTTCGTGACGCGGTGGAAAGTCCCTTCGGATATAGGAGCCAGGAGTATGTGGTGTTTCAACTAAAAACCACCCCGACGGCCAGCCTTAGGCGCCCTGCTCTAGGGAGAACCCGGGCCATGTAATTTCAGATCCCCCCAGATCGACGCCGCACCTAACTAAGCCCTATCTCAGGGGAAGTCAGTGACTTCTCACTGCCTATCAGTCTATCCAGATGTTGATCACATCAGTGTTAGAAAATGTGATGATCACATTTTTAGTGCGATCAGGTCGCCGTTCTATCCCCTAGCGCAGGAACTAATCTGCTACCAGAGGACCCTACTCTCTGGCGGCCCGCGGTCCCGTCGGCGGCGGTATGAGCTCGGGATCGGCCCTCTACCGATCCCGTTCAGCGGTCTCTTTCTGGAGCATTACAGCTTTACAGAAAGAGACCACTGCGCCCAAGCCCTCCACACCCGCCAGCATGGCAGCAATGATTGCTTGCGGGGATAGGTCTCGTCCGATTTGGTAGACCAGGACTTCGCGTGTGCTGAAGCCCAGAGCACCTACGTATTCAAAGAGTTGGAAATAAATAGTAGGTACTATATGTATCTAATTCTAAAGCATGTTACAGATCACTGGAATATTGCATGAATTTACAATTTGAAAAAGTAAGTACTTAATATTTGTTTAGATCCATCATTCCCAAGCGATGGTGCTGTGGAGCTAGTATTTGCTCGCGGCACAGGGGGTGGTGCAGCGCCAGCACCTGCGCCTACACCTGCAGCGCCCTTACGAGCCGCACCAGATGCTCTTGCGCGAGCTGACTCTCTCGAACATCTGCGGCCACTGTCCACGCTCACCGATGACGACCCTGGTAAATATTTTCAAAAAAAATTGCTTTATTTTTTTTGATAATTTAAATAGTGAAAATAAAAAGCTGCTTATTTATTTTGATTTACGTTTGAGATTTTACAAATAAATGAAACGACCCCAACAATATTTGTATATATATATATATATATTTGAAACCCTCACATCAAACCTTTTCATTTGGTACTTCACACGGCACAGCTATCTATCTATTTAAAATATCTGTAGCTTATATTTCTTTCTGATATGGCGTTTGCAAAAAATAGAATCGGATTAGTAACTTCATTCCATTCAATACCTAGTAGTTAATATGTCTAACACACGTGTTTTAGAAATATTAACTTTGTAAAGATTTAAGTTCGCAATTAAAACCTATCAAATTACAAAATTAAATGGATAGGTTTATTTCGTTTCATTTACATTTACGATTCGGACTATTAATCAAAATATTTCGGCAAGTTGGACCTACATCCAAATAGGGAATATGGATGTAGGTTAACTTGCCGAAATATTTTGATTCAATTTATTTGTAATTCAAGATGTGACTGCTTTAATAAACTTTGACAAAAATGAATTCGAATGTTCTGGAAGAGCTGGAAGAACCGGAAAATTGAGTTTGATCATGGATTGTTTTGTATCCCGGGACCTTGGGACTTTGGAAATTATTAAACATAATAATTATAACTTCACACATCTCACTCACGACAATGCTTGCAATATTTATGCAAGCACTCTGAGCATAAACTAGGCAGATTAGAAACCAGGCTACTGATAAACATACTTATATATTTCTAAATACATACTATAGATAAATTACACTCAGACAAAACAAATGATCGTGCTCATTACACTTGTTGTTCTGGATGAGAATCGAACCCACGACCTAAACAGAAAGGATCACTAACCTCTTGACCAACAGGCCCGACTCAATTTGGCAGTTATATTAAAATCAATTATTGTTAGTTCTTGGTCTATGACTAGAAACTTCTGTTAACTTGGTAGATCCTATATCTGATTTAGTAAAAACGGATTTTCAATAATATACTGTATACCTTGTTATATAACTATATTATGTAATGGAACAAAGTACTAGGTAGTAGTAACAAAGTAGTAGGAATGCTAAACGAAATCCTAAAAGTGCTAATATCGTTGAGGAGCATTTTATTCTTTAGAGATATTATAACTTGGTAGGTTAAGAGCATTACAATTAGCCTCTTTACTAGGTAACTTAATTTATGCACCATTATACTCTTTAATTAAGTAAATTAGACTTAGGTCTCAATTAAATTATTATAAGATAAAAAAATCGACTCGAGGAAATGGAGGAAAGATTGCTGTTGTGTTTAATAACCTGTATATTCTCGAGGTCCTCTTTATGAAGAACCAATAGATTATGGGTTCTGCAAGCCATTTTCGCGTTATTCTTTTCATGTCGTGTTATTCCCTTCTTCGATCTTAATTGTTGGGTTCGATTACGGTCTATTGATTTTATACCCATCAGTACCAAGTAGGAAAACAAAAAGGAAAGACTATTTCTCTATGCCTGAAATAATATAATCTTAATAAGAAAAAATATAATACTCTCTATTTATAAATTAGAAAAGATGTTTAACAAATGTCGCTAATACCAACACTTCTGTCTAAAGCCTAGGTAGCACTAAAACGAGGCGTATATAGCTAGCTATTATCCAATGATATTCACTAGGTATTCAGTTCAGTGGGGTTAGCTCAGATCATGTTTGTTACTTAAAATCCGATAGTTACAAAGGATCATCATGATTCTTATTCTTTTTAATTCATTTTACGAATTTAATCGCTTCCTGTATTATTTGTTTAATTCCCTTCAACGAGTTCGAGAACAGAATCATTGGGATATATTGCTTATTAAAAAATATGCATGACCGCCTTTCAAATTTAAACGCTAGACCAACTGATTGCAGATTATTGCATTCTCGTATAAGTTATAAACGTAAGCGACATTTAACACAATTTAATCTCATGCTAGTGAAAAATTGAGCTAGTGTATATAATAACTTAAAGAGAGAATGAATAAAACAAAATTAAATAGAATACTTACTTGTATTGCGTATAATATGTGCGATTTAATACAGTCATTTCTTGAGATGAGTGTAATATAATGCCTTTAAACAACAATTTAGTACAAACATCTTAATAAATAAAACATAATATGATTGCTGCAGTTATTATTTTTCCTCTTTATCTAATACAGAATCTATTAATGGGCCTTTTATATAAATCAAATATGTATCAAACATGTACAAAATCAGGAAATATAATATATATTCCTAAATGAATGTATGATAACTACCCAATATTTAAACTAACTATAAATAACGATACCGACAAATAAAAAATTGTAAACGGTCATCTGTCATTGACTAGAATGATGCATTGATCCTTGTAAGATCTCATGAAATGTTAGTTTAATTTCAAGTTTATAGTAAAACATAAAATCCGGGCATTATAGAAGAGTCCCTGGAACGCACTTTATTAGTTTAACATCCGTAAGTCATAGCGTTCTATTCTTATAGGGCAATGAAAACTTGTCTACCGATATATATTAGGAGCAGGCACATGTGCCAATGCCAAGCTGAAGCAGAACATCCGAATGCCATTACTGCCAGCAATTTGACTTAACAAACTTGCGTAGCTGCCCTTTGGTCAGGAACTCAACGAAATGGGAGTCGTTTCGCACATCCTGTTCTCAATTCGTTTATAACCAGATCTAGACGTGCAGTGTCTGATAATGGCCGAATATTGAGCTGTATATATTCAAATTCCAAGAATTTGTCGGTTATAAACATTTGAGCTCGTTCTTATTTATTTGATCTCTAAGAATTAGAATGCATTATTTGCCGAACAATTACTTTTAAAGAATTTGGCAAACCCACCTAATACAGACGCTGTCGCAATACATAAGCGAACACGAGAATTCTTATCACTTGCATATCTTGACGCATTACAAGGGTAGCTTAATTAACTGGAAGTATTAGAAACTGGGACATCAGTGTTGACAAAGCGACCTAACTACACAAGTTAACGGTGGGTCGCGGTTTACGCGGCGTGCAGGTGTCGGCTATTTTAGTGTCTGTGTGTCTGGCACTCCGGCCGCCCGACGACCGCCGCCGCCCGCCCAGTTGACACCCGCCTCGCGCGCCGCCGCATACGCGCTCAAATATTCACTATTAGAAAAATCTCGTTACTAAGTTTACATCACATAAAAATATTCTAAATACCTATTACACAGCCAGACATACATCTAAAGTGTATCTTTCTTCCTGTATCTGTCTAAAAAAATAGTAACTGTTAAGAAATTGGAGAAGAAAAGTAGAGAACAATATATATATTTTAAGGCTAGCAAACAAAATCGCGATCTAGGTAAGTGTGACATTAATTTCGGAGCCATCGACTGCGTTTTATGAGTTATTAAATTTCATTAATAAATGTGGAGTGTAATTTTATCATCGTATACTTCTAATCTCATTATGAGCTGCATGCGTGTTAATTAACATGATTGATTACACGGTCTCGAAATCTTGATGAAGTGTGTCGAAAGTTATTCAGACTTATAGCCGGCTTTTCATTTGTAACAATAGCTGCATCGAAGAAATGTTAACAACGTATTGTGTTAGTGGCGCCTGCTGTCTAATTGACCAGTGTGGTGAATGTATGATAAATGCCCACTGTTATGTGAGCACCAGGCTTGCCCTCAGGGCCTTTATTGCTCATATATCAGTTTAAGGCGGAAGAAGAATTGAAAGATGAAACTGCAATAATTAAATTATGTTGTATAGTGCGCTATGTGGCTTGTTAACTAAATATTTTGTTTTTCAATACGTTACCTATATTAAAGTAATGTTAACATGGAATAGTTAAAGATACTTAATGTCACAATGAATGAAATGAAAGAAAAATATCGAATTTGTAGGCAAACTTATAAACATAAAAGAGTTTGTTTAAGCATAAACATTCGGTATTCATTTTGCTAAATAAGCACGCATGATACTTGCACAGGTCACCCGGCCATATAGCAGTGCGTAAATATCTATCAAGTTTTTATGTTCACGCGCAAGGCTATGTTTACCTTGACGTCATGCACAGCTGTGCAAAATGAGATCCCGTCAAAAGCGTGTAGTCCAACTGGAATTTGTATACATTTGCATATATAAATTACCTCATATTGAAGATTTATTTGTATTAGTGTGCAAGGTTCGTTGTAGGTTCACGCGGTTTACATGTTTAATTTAGTATAAAGTAACTCAAGGTTTGTTTACTTCAATTTTCAAACTTTACTAATACATTTCGTTCCTAGATCATTTGAAAACATTATTCGTTTATATTTATTAACAGAAGCGAAGTTGCGAGTATCGATTGGACTAAAGTTTATTCGCGTTGTTGCTTACCCTGACATTACGTACACATGTCCTCCTATAGTTATCAGTGCCTATTATCGCTGCAGCTTTTAATTTTGATGAACAGTCCGTAAGTTGCTGTATAAGATACCGACGCGTGTTTTGTGTTCAAAGATCATTCCATTCAAAGATTTGTGTGATATTTACAGTGACATCAAAATGAGACATGTGTGCTTAACTAACACGAATTTTCGTTTTGAGTACTTAACTACCCAAAAATTATTCTCCACATATTAATTCTTGAACTGTTAAGATAAACATGAGATAATATGATTTCGTATGCAAATTTAACTCAGAATGGACGTCTTTCAAAAAGAAAAATAAGAAGACCCAAACTGGTTGGAATTTTGGCTGACGTCGTATAACGAACACAGATAGCAAACAGCCAGTGTGGAATAATAATGCGATAGAGCTTAGAGTTTCGCAGAAACACAAGGTGGAGTCTGATGACATCATTGCGAGCTGCTCACGAACACACGCTCACCTTCATAGGTATGACGGCTATAGCGTAACACTGTCGTGAAATAATATCATTTTATTCATACTTCTTTCTAAGTTATTCAATGCTTGACATACAGACCAACAGAGCATATGACACGCGCCTCTCCGATTTGATGCGAAGAGCATTGTCGTCACGCTCATTTCATTACTTAATGAACTAAAAGCTGGTCGGACACGATTTTGTGTAAGGATCCGATAACTTGGTAGTTTCATTCATTATTAATTTTGTATGGTATCAGTTTGCGCGTTCGTATTAAAGAGGAATTATGTTCTAATGTTGAAATAGCCGAAGTAAAATGATTATGATGTGAAAAATATTACAAGCTTTGCTGTCGTTGTTTTTTTCTACATATCAGTATAGAGTTCGTAAGAACTAACGCTGGGGCGCACGCCCGCGCCGCTAGGGCGCACATCCTCTTCCTGCACTGGTACATTTCGTAACAGTAGCCCTCGCTCGGCTCCACGCGTTATTTTAGTTGACAACACAGAAATAACCTCATTTTCCTTAACAGCTACCGACGGTCACCAGACGCTGACGTTGATATCTTTACACTAATTGCGTTATTGACAACTTCACATTTAGTTTATTTCGAAATCGAACGTCGCAAGATGGCGCTTGCATTTAATTTTCGACATTGTCAGGTGTCGCAGTTTACCGCTTAGTAAAAATATTTGTTTGTATGTATCTATTAGCGTACGTCTGGGTATTAGGTATTTGTGTTTGAAAAACATTTGAAAAATATTGCCCATGGATTTTCTTGCCTGTTCTTCTCCATATGAACTGGCAACTAGCTTCATAATTGACTTAGTCTGACTGACTCTTACGTATATTCACCTGTCTGACAATTCAAAAATACATATCACTGGTTTAATTGAAATGATTTTGATTTTCTTTTTATGTACAAATGAGTATAAAATGAATCTAAATATGTTATGAATTACATTGCACGTAGTTATATCTCTCAGAATATTCTTATATGTTTATGAATATTGAGATTTTTTTCTGATTGTGAAACTAAATTATTTTGTAATTTGGTTTCACAATCAGAAAAAATATACAAATTACAGATCAAATAATTATGCAAATAACACAAAATAATAGTGTCATGTCATGTCTATGGTCACTTTCTCTATAAACGCCATAACTTACGTATTACGTTGTTAGTTTTTCGGTATATATCGTTCAAACACACATGCATTTTAGCTTTATAATATTGGCTTTTGCGTGTTACCATATAAAATACGATTTTCAACTTATACTTATAGCTTATTAGATCACCGATACGTAATTTAGATATGTACCTACTGTATATTACTAGCAACAACATTTGTGGCCATGAGAAACGAATTATAAAAAAATAATCAGTCCCAGACTTGAACTAAGAGTAGAAAATTATGTATTAATATTATACAGTACACAATAGTTAGTTGGAAAGCCCAAGCAGAACAGACAAATACCGATAGTATTTCATTAAACAACCTTAACGGTGTGTTCCCGGTGCATATGTAACGGGAAGGAAACCTTAGTCGTTGTCCTTTTTAGGCAGCGTCTAGACTACTTTAATTCTGTGCTAGAATGTTCAATGGTAAGACAGAATAACTGGTCTCTTAAACCTATTTTAATAGATGCACACCCTACAAACTGCGATAGAAATTGACACATGTATTTACCATCTCGTTGGGCCACGAGGAACCGCCAGTTTATTAGAGCGAATCGAATCCAATTTAAAAGCAATTTGTAATTAAACCGTCGCCTAAACATATCACCCGTTGGTGATGCGTTATCTCACAAAACTTGTATCTAACAATTTAATGTACTTTAAAAAATCTTAGCATTCCTTTAATTTGGTGCAGGTGAAAACAACGGCAGCGCAGAGGGTTCAGGTTCGGGAGGAGAGGCTGGAGAAGGGGGCGAGGCTGCGCATACCTTTGGTCCTCTAGACGGATCTATCTACGCAACAGTAGTGCGTGCGGGCGGCGGCGGGCCCTCCTCGCCGCTCAGCGCGTCCATGGACTCGGGCATTTCTTCGGCGGGGCGCCGCGCAGCTCCTAGCCCGCCAGACGAGCTCGACGCGTTGCTGGGTGATATGCTTCGAACAGTAAGCGCGCTGCCCGATCCACCGCCGGCGCCGCTCACGCCGCAACCGCAGTCGCACGCTGACCGACCTCCCGACATACCGTATCACGCGCGCGCTGACTCCGCGCCCTTCACCTACGGAGCGCCCGGCCTGCGCCCAGGCATGTTGCGCGCGTCAAACCGCCTGGCCAGCCCAGAGCTGGTACGCCGTGCATTAGGCACTGATCGTAACTATCGCCCTATTGAAGATGATGACGACGAGCGCACCGTTACCCCGGAGGCGCCTTCACCTCGTACGCAAACACCTCTCTCTCCGCGCACGCTTCGGAAGCTTACTCACGAAGATGTGACAACCACCACGACTGCGATGCCTGCTCCCTCTTCTCCAGTACGAAATGGCCGGTAAGTCAAGTCAATTAAAATGTATTTTAATTAATGGTAATATTATAAATATATGTAAACAAATGTCGAACCTACGATAATTAGAGAGATAAATATCTGAATAATAACAACATAACTAAAGTCAACCTTTCAAAACCAGTTCCCTACAAGTTTTAATACCAGCATATTAGAAGGAAATCACTTGGCTTTTGAATAAATGATTTCTACTATGTAGTGGCATCAAATCCTACAAAATTATAAGGGCATCTACTATTCCTGCCGAGGTAAACTGAAATAATTAAAATTATTTTAATACAATCAAAACAAGGGGTGCAGACATAAACATGTGTTCCTGTGCAGCGACGTGAAGGCCACCACCCACACCAGATGCTTAATACAATGTTTACATTCACAGCCTCACGTACTTTTAGCAAACCTAGTTTTTGTGTTTTGATAAAGATGGGAAAGATCGAAGACGGTAATTAATCGTAAGATGTCGTTGTACACACGAAACGGCTTAACAATGAAATCACGACTTTAGCAACAATTAATTATGCGTGAGATCCCTGAAAACAAAAGCGCGAAAAACGTATCTATAAACATAATCAATAACGACTTATTTGTATATAACAAATGTGTAACGTAGCACTGTTGGTATCCTCTTAATTTATTTAACCGCGTTTCGCTCGACCCACTTCACTGTCAATGAAGACTTATAAAATATAAGGTATCGTATCACGACTATTGCTCACGAGATCAAACTGACATTAACTCAATTTTTTTGCCTTATTCCATTCCTTCAGTTGTAAATATACTCTCGAAAGATCAACAATGACGTATTACGATTAAACAATGCGTCCATAGGACTTTAACATAATAATCATAAGGAATTTAACATAATATAAGTTTTTTCTCTTTAAATGTATGGTGGGTACACACATACATTTAAAGTTACATACATACATTTAGTTTTTGTATGTATAAATTTACATAGGTACACACCTAGTTATGTACCTAGGTACTGTTAACCGTACTGCCTACTATTGTTAAATACGGCTTTGCGATTTTTACAAAAAATGTACTCAGTAGAAACAAACAGCAAAGTATACTACAATACAATACTTACTATACAATACAGTAATTAAATCACGTAAACATATCAGTACATAGTAATAGATTCTACTTCAAAATGGTAATTTTGGTCTTGTAAAAAAAACATTATTAACTCGATTGTTTTTCATAACTAAATGTCTGTTGTTTGTCCGTTGTTTTTTTATCAATAGCCTCAAGGCAGTGTGTGTTTCACTTTTTTCGTGTAAGGATAATTTGGAGCTGGATGTCTTCAATTAATATATTTATAACTCTGAAGAGTGATCTGGGGTATCAACCAGTCTAATTATCTTTTTTTCCATTAGAAAGCTTGTTTATTAAGACGGAGAAGCCTGTTGACATTAAACCAAAATAACATTCAAAGTCTTTTTGATGTTAACGCAATTGATAAAAAAAACAACGCAACTTAGTTGCAATGTTGAATGAATGCCTAACAGTTTATGTTTATGTTAAACAAAACAAAAGAACTCGTTGAACATTAAATAATGTATTTCAGTGTAGGAGCTGAGAACTTGTGGGCGTAACGTAAATTCTATAGATCAATGATTACAGCAAAAAATATCGGTCGTTTTAATTTTAGCGGCGTATTTAATTCACAATGCTGTAGTATCCGCTATCCTTTTTAACCGACTTCAAAACACAAAAGAGGATGTTTGTTACTCGATATCTACGTCAATTGTGGACCTGAATGCTCCCGAAGTGGTCCATTACCACGTAATCAGGATTTGATGATGGGATCCTAAAGAAATTGAGTGAACCCCCAAATTTTACAGGCCCGACAACGTGTTTTAGCTTATTTCTCTAGCTTTATAGGTATTTCCGTAAACGGTAGTAGTCGTTATGTCATGTTGGTGAGCTGATGATGGAAGGATCCTTGACCTTTAGGAGTTAGAAAATAACTGTTTCAAAAATCTAATCATGTATTGACCTTGTTTTATTCTTTCAAGATATTTGTTAGGTGTTTGTGTTGGGTAACAGAGATATGTGCACAAGAGAGTAATAAATGAGATTACAAAACATTTAGACAAAAAAGAAATGTTTGTTACGCAGTTATTTTCATGCTTGTTACCTAAACACCTCACGGGTAAACCGATTACAAAAATTCAAATGTGAAGAAAATTACTACTTCTAGTTTTGTAATATTAAGTAATGTAGAAAAACAATATATTCTAAATATATCTAAACAAAGTAACGGACTTATTAAACTATATTTAATATAATCTAACATATTACAGTTTGGTACTATACATTACGGTCCGTAGTGTTTTAAATATCGTACTTATCTACTCATTAAAAACATATCTTACACTAAAAATTGTTAAAAAAACTGTTTAAAAAAAAAGTTAAACCGACTTCAAAGACTTCACTGACAAAGAGCACTAAAAATTAAAAAATAATTACAAATCTAAGTAAAAAACTATAATAAGAACCCTCAATAGTCCCTTCTAGTCTGCTCCGACTTCAAACCGACTAGAAGGGACTATTGCTATCATAATGTTACCTGTTATATTGAGGGTACTTATTATAGTTTTTTTATATGTATATTTTAAACCCGCTTTAATATCTGTTTTTAAAAAACATCAAACTAAAAACATTGTTGCATCTCGTCTAGCTTCTCCATTCCACAACCGACATTCATCATACTAAAATAGGATTGGAATACCCAGAATCGAAATAACTATCAACGTGACAGAATTATATTTTTTAAATCCATTTGAGAATCATACCAACCGGCCACCTTACAGTCCATGCGATTCTAAATTTCTGCATCTTGAGTTATGTAGCGGCTTATTTAGATGTCTATGCTGTTATTGGTGTTTATAAGATTTTACATATTACAAGTGCTTCTGTGCATACATATTATAAGCGGATTGCCCAGACAAGACACACTACACTATTTTGCACTTCATTTCACTCGACTAATTACGGTAGAAATGGTGTAATATCACGTTTACTCGACTCTTATAATAAACACTTTAATAGTGTGGACATATTCATCGGTTCTTAGGACAATTTCAAAAAACAAGTTTCGCTTAAATTACTATCATCATAGGCTTTCTAAATGTCAACATCATTGCACTGAATGGCTGGTTTTATAGGTTTCTAGATGATATAAATCTTTTAATGTATTTATTCATTTTAATTTTTCCCCCATATTTATATATTTGTATGTGTTATTTATTTCAGTTATTTATTATATTTCATATTTTACATCAATACACCCATCTTTTCAAGGTTTGCCAATCAGTTTTACTATTATGTATTGTTATTAGCATATTCATCCACTCTATGTATCTACCGTGGATAACTTTTATTGGCTACTCATGTAATCATAGTTAACTACCTAGTTAAGAATTGCAGCTGTTGTTATCCCTAAAAAAATAAAATAAAAAAAATAAAGAGCTTCAGTAAGCTCTTTTCTTAAACGAATATCCAAAGCGTATCAAATATGGTTATGTGGAGGTGAGCGCTGACGCGTCGCAAGGAGTACTCCATAAACCTATACCTGGGTCGCAAGTCCTAGGCGCTGTCGAAGTCGCATGTGTTGCCCCATTCTATCACGCGATGTACCGGCACCCGCACGGTGAATCCATGGAATGCTAAGAAATAGGTCTTAGAATATTATCACTCGATTAATGTACAACTTTTAAATTGTACAAATTTTGAACAAATTACCTTGGTATTTATCCCTAGTTCACAGTCAAGTACACAAATTAATAAAGTATTAACCTCATTATGTAACAATTATTGCGTGTGTGTGGCAGCAACACACAATGCTGTATTCTGTAACTTTATCAAAGGCAGGTCTGATTATTGATCTCGATTAACATTATAAGTTCCTTGTGTTATCCAACTAATTGAAGCGATACTGGAATTCATTGTAGCTATCCAGCTAAGTATAAGATATTTCTTACACTTATTTATTAATATACGAAGAAATTATTTTAATACGCATTTTTAGGTAAGTTTTGGCACAGACTAGAAATGTGAAATTATACAACCTTTTTAGATTTACCTTTTTAATCAACATATTTATACAAGTACGTTATAAGTTTTAAAACATAATATGTTGATTTGATCTGTCATTCTACGGCAAGTTTATAATTACATTTCAAGTTATACTGTTCAATGACGTAAAAAACTGTTAACACTAAACGAATTACGGTTGAAATTCAACCACCAAGCGATCACTAGCATAACTTACTGTTTACGAGGTTCGTGTAACGTTGTGTTTGCAGTCTTAGTCTAATTAGGATATAATTTATGTTACACATTCACTTCAAAATATTTATAATAATAATATAATTTATAATAATTATATAATCGCAACTGTACGAAAGAATTTAAATATTTATAGTTGAATTTAATTATAGCTATTGCTAGAAGCAAACAATGGCACAAATCACTTTGTTAAAGATTTGACATCGGCTTGATCGACATTCGATAAATGGCATGATACTGATATCTGCGTTGTCAATCATCTTTGTAATGCATTGTAATCACAGCACTTAGTGCGAATGCTTTGTTATGGTTGACGTGAGTTAAAGCTCTGGATAGTACTTGTTTGTTGAGATAATGTTGGTGTTGTGTTACAATTACAAACAGATATGCTTAAAAACAACTTACGTACTATGCAAACCAAACTGAAAATTAGTTAAGAATTATTTTCAGTTAAGCTATCGATGGCAGGGTAATTTTTCTTCGGATGATTTTAGGAAACTTTGTACCTATAGTTACATCCCAAGAGTCCGCGAATCGTACATATACACTTTGTGTAATTATTTTATACTATATGTTTATTGTGACGACCGAATGGCGTAGTGATTTGTGTAACGGACTGCTATTCCAATTCGATTCGATTCCCGCTCAAGTAGAACATTTGTGTGCATGAACATTTAATGTTTGATTTGGTCTGGGTATTTCTATGTATAATAAGTATGTATTTATAAAAAAAGGACATGTATTTATATTATCTAGTAGCCATAGTACAAGCTTTGCTTAGTTTGGGACTAGATGGCGCTGTGTGAATGTGGTAGAATATTAATATTATTATTGTGTATCTACCTTAATAAAAATTTATTTCTTTAACGTACATCAATACAAACGGATTCAATATGGTTACGATGCGAAGTAGTGATACAATCAAAAAGTTTAGATCAAATGAAAAACTTGCAATCTTTGTAATCGTTTAGAGACCTAAACGTATCGATTTCTCGGGCCAAAAAAATCGATCTTTTTACTCGATATGTAGCCTACCTGTTTTGATAAAATCCAAAAAAAATATTTACAGGGCGTTGAATGTCCTCAACATAAATAATATGTAGAGTAGAGGAGCCCAAATTCAAACGAGAGTTAGCCTTACAAGCCTCTATAAGATCATCACCATGAGTTAATACTAAGTGCCCCGTTGGTGTCGCTTTTGCAGCTACTCTATTCTTCATGCTACTCGACACACGTAAAGAAAAAGCAATTTTCACTTAATTATATATAACAGTAATGAAGTATATGACTATCGGGGCATCATCTGTGCTTTGTGAGCGCCTCTTCTCGATTGCGGAAAATAATCGATTTTTATTAAATCGATTTTTTATTCCTTGATGTATGTGGATCGATTCATAAGCTTGCGATTTGAATCGATCTTTTTCAAGGCAAGGCAAGAATAGCCATCCCATTTGTTAGTGTTTGAACTTAACCTTTTTCTAAATCTATAACGCGATATTTTTAGCTTTTGAGCCTGTCTTTTAAATCTAAAAGACCCTTAAAAACTGTCATATTCGATTTACATGCCAAAGCAATCACTAGAATTTTGTACATAAGATGACTCGTTCCATTGCGTAATTTTATAAATAAATGTGAGGAGTATTACCTATATAAAATATAATGCAATGAACGCATTCAAAGAACTCGGAAAATAGAAAAAAAAATGTTATTTATTTAAAAAAATTGATGAGAATAGATCTATCTACAACACGGTTAAACTATTTATAGTAGGTACCTAAATTAAGAAACGGAAGCATTCGTCGTTTAATTGAGTCGGCGATAGGCGTGGGCTGAAACCGAACCGAGTATCAATCTACTCGTTCCGCAACATTACACGACGCACATAAGATACTCACCAAGCTCTAGCGGCCTGTTACCAATTATTTATGCGACGCCCGCTCAATGAATGGCTTCTTAAGTTTCTAGTCAAATTGTTACTGACATCGCATAGCCATTCTTGGAACTATGATAACCTTTAAGCTACGGTCCTTTCGAATCCGGTCCTTTCGAATTCGTATTAGATTACCCACTATTTTATTAACATCTCATCAATTTCTAATGCACATGTCAGTTTCGTGTAATGATAATGGATAACTCGAACAACGTATGTATTTAATAATCGAACACTTGAATACACTGTCATACATAGACGTACATCAGATAGCGATATCGACTCGCAATTCTGGGTTTGATTTGGAGCGATGGTGTGATTGCGTCGCCGTCGTGACCCAAACAAGTTACTATTTCGAGATAAACGTCACCATAAACGGACGGGTGTCGACCCGGCCACGACACTACAACGCCCCGCACTGCCTACTTTGCACTACACTATTTACTTTCTAATAAAGAGCGCTGTGTCTAAAACTTTTTACTTCCTCATTCACTCAAACTGTTTATGCTCTCATTAAAACATGTGGTCTAACGAGTTACTAAAGTATTTATTATGTAAACATATGTTTTTTTTACAAACTTGTGACGAAATTCTTGTTTATAACAAGACATTCCAATGTTAACGGAAAGCTATTAATATTTATGTAGTATTATAAAATATGTACATACCTACTCACCAACCACCCACTGTTTAAAGATTCTTAGCATGCGGAACCAAGGTTTTGCATTGCCATATCAAGAACACCTGAACCTTCAAGTCCTACACACAAACATAAAAAAAAGAACTATAATGATAATAATGGGGCCAAATACATGATAATTTGTTCTATATTTCTTTGAAGTTTTTACAAGGTTGAACTTAATTTTTGTCAACAGATGGTTGAACGGGGAAGTGGAATGGGCCGAACGACCTGCAAGTAGTGCCCAGAAAACTCCACCTGAGAATGGTACATGGAGATCAGCAAGTTCCATGGGATGGCAAGAAAGTGTGCGTGCGAGAGAGCCTCGGCGCTCTGAAAGCAGCGTGGAAAGTAGCTCAGGGCTGACATGGCTCCAGCGACAGCAACAGAAACTACGTGAGAGAAAAGAAGCCAGGGAGAGAGTCGCTCGACTACCGCTCGAGTGGGATACTGCACCTTCCCGGCATGTGCGTCGTTCAGCTAGCCACAGGTATATATTAGACCCAACTACCAAATAAATATTCACCTATAACATTTTTATTGTACTACAATTGATTCTAACAATTGAAGATTATAAATTTTCAGTCTTTGTTTTCCTATTGTTTCAGAGTGGATGGCTATACTAGTGACACGACAGCGTTCGCTGATGACGATGACGACTTCAGTGTTCCGCTCCACGTGAATACGCGCACAACTCTTAGGACTGACCATATTAGTCCACAGGCTCCAGACAGGTAAAACTATAATTTCATTGGTCTCTTGATATTTCTTGACATTATTACAATTAAATGATATTACTATGCGATAAGCTTATATGTGAGGGTAGCTCTGGTAATACCCTGGTTTTATTGTTACAGAACCTCATCTAGAAAATTCATGTATGAAAAGATGACGATGCGCGAGTGGAGTTCAGCGTCTACACCGACGAACACTCCTGCGCCTGGATTACTGTCACTTGCGGAGCCTGTCAGCACAGACACTGTTGTAAGTGATCCATAAAATGCACAGGTGAAACCGCTGGGTCTAGAAGAATGAAAATTTTGCACAAATTTTCCTTAGGTAACATAAGTGTGCAGTAAGAAAGAAATTTAAAAAAATCCACCCCTATGGGTGCAGAAATGGGGTTGGAAATTTATATGAAACTTCGTTATTTGTGGTAGTAGCGTTTTCACACTCACAGTACATACTCTTTATTAAAAGCAATAAAAAAGTTGTTACAATTTTTTTTAAACTAACCTTAATAAGGGATGCAAGTTTGTATTGGGCACTATTTTTTTAACTTATGGATTCCAAGACTCAGTACATATATATTCTTTACCATAAATAATAATAATTGTTCACCTATTTTTTAGCTTTTCAAAACGGAAAAATTCTGGTTACTCAATCACGCCAAAACGGCTTTTCGAATCTAACCGAGATTTGACACATAGATAGATAATAGTCTGGAATAACACAAAGGCTACTATTTACTAATTTAATTTTAATTTTTTTGACAAAATTGACATCCTCGCAAGCGAAGCTAGTAGTTGCCTAAAATAATATAGGTTGAAGTCTATATAGAATGTTACATTTACAAATATTGCATTGTCTAATATATTTATATATATTTGAAAATCAAGCCATCCATAAAGTATTAACCAAGTATTTCCGTACTTCACAGGATCGCGCGGAGACCTGGTCTCGAGCCGAGTCCCGGACCGAATCCCGAGCAGGTACGCCTGCATTCCCGACGCATCCCCGAACACCTTATCCACCAACGCCGACCCCCTCATTTAGTGCGCGTCCACCGCGCTCGCCGTCAGTGACTAGGTACGTTCCTTAATTTATGGTCCTAAATTCTCAAACTCTGAAAAGTTGATAAAAATATGCATGCATATATAAATACAATATAAATAGAAATAAGTACCTTTTTCAACTATGCTTTCTCTAAATAAATGTGTGTTGCACCTAATGACGCGCCTTAAGAGTGAATGCATTTGCTACTCTCTGCCTCCATTTAACAAGCAAATACGGTGTTTTGGAGATAAAAAAAAGAAAGAAAAAAATAATGAGTTTAATTCTGTTGTTGAAATTCTGGTTTATTCTAATAACATGATGTAAAGCTTTTAGGGATTACTTGATTTTCGTTTTTGGCATGCCTCAATTCTTGAATAGATTAATTAATTAAAAAGTATATTCTACGCCCGCATGTTGGTATATGGTGTTATAATAACCATTTTGCAATCATAGGAAAGAACGCGAAGTAAGCCCTGAGTCAGAATACCGCACCTTCAATGGCTCAGGTAGTCTGGGGTCTCGGCGGTCCAGCGTCAGCGGCAGCGCTGAGCCACAGCATGTAGCGCCCGACCGCGTACGCTTCGCACGCGATACCAGCCACTATTGGTACAAACCCAACATCTCCAGAGACGATGGTAAAGTCGAGTTATTTTAACAAATAAAATATCTAAGAAGTTTATAGAAAGCGACTAATATCGTTCAAACAACGATATTAATAGTAATTTGTGTACTAGTCAAATAACCAACAAAATAAATTTTCATTTATAAACTCACTGTCAATAATATTAAAGTGTGTGATTATTTATTCTTAAGCTACCAGAGCTACCAAAGATAATTTCAATTATGTATCTCATTTAAATGTTTTGTTGTATGTATTATTTATTTGTTTCCAATAGCGGTATCAACTTTACTGCAACTGGAAGAGGGAGCATTCATAGTCCGCGACTCGAACTCATTCCCGGGTGCATTTGGCCTAGCGGTGCGAGCGGGAGGAGCTGGTGGCGTGAGGCATTTCCTTATAGAGCCTACAGCGAGAGGTGTCCGACTACGCGGATGTCCTGATGAACCAGTGTTCAGTTCGCTTTCTGCACTCGTATACCAGCACACTGTGACGCCTTTAGCTCTACCGGTGCCGTTAAAATTACCTGACAGGTGATAATTTCTTAAAAAAAAAACTTAATAGATAAATAAATGTTCATAATTTTGTTTTAAAAGTTAAAATTAAATAACCTGTAATAAAAGTACTTAAAACTTATAATTAATATATAATAATATTGCCTTTCATGTAAAAAAAAAAATTTCGAACCCTATACTAAATACTACTTCGAAGAAAAATACTTTTAGGATAATAATACATACCATTCAGTCTTATTTTGGAGTATTATTTTTTGGAATGTTTATGGTCTATTGTATATTGTACTTGAAGTTGATTCATGTGATATTTTATACCAGCAGTACAGCAATACGAGTGATCGATTCTTCTGTAAATCAGGGTTAGCAAGATAGTCATTGGCTAATAAAATCTGACTGACTGAGTTATCGCTTCACTTTTTCTGTTTTGTTGACTTAATCATTTGCTATAAATATAATGTTGAATTCCATATACCAGAGACCCGTGGTCGGGCGGGGGCGCGCAGGCGGCGGCGCGCGCCCTGCTGTCGAGCGGCGCGGCGTGCCACGTGTTGCTGCTCGGCTCCGAGAACACTGAAGCTCTCACTGGACCCGCGGCTGTCAAGAGGGCTGTTACCAACATTCTAAACAAAAAGGTCAGACACTGTTTATTATAAAACCGGAGCAGAGAGAATGACATAGTTATAAACAACTGAAAAGGGACTTACACTGCGGATATCTGCAATTTTATTATTAAACGAAAGCACTCCACTGAGAAAAGTTTCCTCTTCTTTTAATACTTGTAGAGAGCAACCAAGTTTGATTAGTTGTGGGAACCGAATAATTAATTAAGGAAGCGATGCACATCCATTTTTTTCTGGGATGGGATCGACCATATTGTATCTAGCTACTAGCGATACTTACCAGCGTGTAAAAAAAACTCTTATGTGAAAGAGAGGGAAAAATTCAAGAAAGAAATATGTTTAAACGTGCGACTTCCTACACCGCCTTGCCAATAAATTATGTATTTATAACATAAAAAGTAATTAATTGTCTACAGATTGCGAAGGTGGACTGCGGGGTGTCAAAAGTGTGTTTGTGTCTACAGATAATTACTTATCGATCGCTAGTATATTATATACTAGCGATCCGCCCCGGCTTCGCACGGGTGCAATGTAGATACGACTAATACTACTTATGTGGTGTCAGTGTAGAGGAATTATTTAGTTATACTATTATATGATATCGGAGGGGATATGCAGTCATCGGAGGGGACCTCTCGCTACCAGTCGTCATACACTTCATGGCCGGTAGTGACAGATGTTTTACCGCGGTCGCATCCTTCTGTGAAGACATTATCTCGCAGAAGGAGGCAGCGGAGAGGACCCGGGAGGATGATTTTCACTCGGACCCAATTCGCCGCCGCCGTCGGCGGAGGCGAGCTTACCAGCGCCTCATGCCGCCCTGAGTGTGGCCGCGGGTGAACGGGACGAGTTTTCCCCTCCGCCCCCATAACGGCCCGCCGCGGAGGGGCGACGTCCGCGTGTACCGGACGTCGCCTAAAAGACAATTCACCGTGGTGTCCGCGCCGCTGCGGGCAGGCACTAGGAGGGGTCCGGATGTGTTAATAACAGCATTTCCCGAATCCCTCCTAACACAGGCGTAGAGTGGCACACCGTGTGGATTTAGTCGGTCCGATTCCGACACACCACCCCGCCGCAAACCCCGGTGAGGGTTTCCACACGTTAAAAAAACAAAAACAAGGGAGATAGACATATAGAATCGCGGACTGTTTTACAGATCTTTTTAACATATACAATTCCGTAGTAAATTATTTTGGTCTATCTTGCAAGGTTTAAAAAGCGTTTGCAATGTAGGCGCACAAAAACATGTTTTTTACTACAAATCTTAGAAATTCTCGGATTTTATCGTGTGTTGCGGCGCAGCCCGGCCAAAGTCGATTTCGTAATTTATAGACGTACCTATCAATTAAATGTTCTTTTATTGTTTTTGCTGTACCAATCAAAAGATTAAATGTACCACAAATATAATTATCTTGTTAAAAAAGCAATTGTTTGTGGGCGGAAAGCACCGTATACGTTGCATCCCGGCCACGTGTATAATATAAATAGGCAGGATGCTCAGAATGCTAAAATATAAACGGACAAATTTTTTTTTGTGTTCTTTCTTTTTTCTATGAAATATACCAAAAGAAAGGCATAAAGAGAAAATGATTTCAAATAGGAACACAAACACAATAGGGCACAAAGCGCCTTCGCCTCTTCCTTGTCATTTAATTGCTTGGATACTTACATTGCTCTTTTAGTAGTTAATGCGTTTAATGACAATTCTTATTTGAAACATTTTCTCTTAATGTAAGCGTCTCTTGGTAAATTTTTAATGAAAAATAAAATAAAGATATATGCTGGGATGCAACGTATAGGGTGCTTCCCGGCCACAAACAATAGATTTTTTAATAAGATATACTTATTTGTGGTAGATTTCATCTATTGATTGGTACAGCAAGAACAATAAAATAACATTTAATTGATACGTCTATTAATCACAAAATCGACTGTGGCCGGGCTTCTCCGCGATTTCATCTACTATAATATGCATGCACTATAATATAATATTATACTTATAAGCCTACCTCTCTCTAAACTGCAATAAAATCCGTTGCTTAGTTTTAAAGATCTGAGCGAACAACACAACAAAGCGACTTTATTTTTTACTATGTAAAGATCCTTTTCTTGCCACAGAGTGCTGCCCACGTGGTCCATTTTAAGGTGTTCGGTGGTGGTATCACATTGACGGACGCGGCCCGCAAGTTATTCTTCAGACGTCATTATCCTGCGTCTGGGATATCGTACGCGGGGATAGACCCTGACGAGAGGCGGTACACGTATCTTGATAACAACACGCAGATTGAAAAGTTAGTTAATCAACTTATCATCTTACTGTACACATACCTATTGCTCACTAGATACCGTATCTACAAGAATTATCAAAGGTTCAGCAGGTTTTCTGTTAGGCCGTGGTATAACTCCTGTCCAGCCGCCCCATATGTACCAAAGCACCATCCAACCTCTCCCATAATAAATCATTATTACATATTGTACATCAAATTGGAATGTTTGTAAACGGTCAAAATATATTACAAAATAGCATAGTTGTTGTATTTTGTAACTGCTGCTGGTTCAGCAGTTACAAAATACAATACAATAACAAAATTATTGGAATAACTGAGACTCAAAGATGTTAGTACTTACAGTTATATTAGTACGTTTTATAACTTAAGATTAAACTCATTGCCTCGCAGTCACAGACGCGGCTGATACCCCGATGCAATGAGTCATATATGGACAATCTAGTCTACTCGTGATCCTGTTCAGTATGCTGTTGGAACTGACCCGCACCCTGCGCACCAGGGATGTGCACAGTTTTCGCATGACGGTAACATCCCTGATGCGCTGTAGAAGTGACGCAACCCCACCAGCACTCTGAACGCGTTATTAAACAATTATTTCGTCACATTTCACGGTAAGGCCATCAGAGGCCAGATCTATCCCTCCTTAGCTAATTTGGGCTGGTGACTTGTGGCTTTTGAACTGCAGGTATACGCGCGCGTAGTGGTCTATTTTTTTGGTATAGAGGAAACCTACCATAAAAAGATACATAATGTTCAAGAAATATGATATTGCACTATAATAATAGCCATTATTATTGCAGACGAGTGTTCGCTTTCGTGGCTCGAGCTTCATCAGGGGCCGACAACCAATGCCACGTGTTTGCTGAACTTGAGCCCGAACAACCAGCCACTGCCATTGTTAACTTTGTCAATAAGGTACATAATTTCATAATTAATTATTAGTTTACTTCGTCTTGTCAGTTCCAGTTTTAATTATTCCGTGTTTTTTTCAAGTCGGTATTTATACGTGTTTCATTCTAATTTTAACAAGTTTATGCCTGAAAAGCCTCGTGAGACAATTTTGTGCTCCTGTTGACGTGCTTTTGAGTTCCTGTGTCCGATGCACGGGGCAGACAAATCACTATTGAACATTTGGGTTAAGAAAACCTCAGTAGAAAACAGCCTTTAAAATACCCTAAACGAACAAAATGTTCATTACGATTAAATACGGATTTACTAATGAAAAGCTCCTAAAATTAAGATATATTAAAAACATATCCAACTTAAATGTGTCTCTGATTATTATGTTTTTATTTGCAGGCACTTCTTGGAAACTCCCAGAAAAGAGACATAATATAAGAGAAACAATGACGGAAACAATTAAATTTTTACTGATTTACATTCAAACACTCACAATGTGGAAAGTGTAAAACACGATATTTTCGTCATTGCTTTCATATGATTGACGTATGATTTAAATAAAGAACTTGTTTTTATTTATCATTCACATTCTTTATAAATGTAAAATTTAATAAGGAACTTGGTTATAATGATCTTTTTATTTTTAATGTTAAAAGATTTATGAAATATTTTCGCCACAATACGCTTCATTTTCACCAAGTAAAATTAACAATTTAATGTGGTAAGGTAAACTGCATTCATAATATAAATATAAATTAAAACTTAGCTTAGGGAAGGAACTAACTAGTCTCATATTATTTAATATAGAGTAGTGATATTATGTGTGCCTAATGAATATTAGTTAAAACTAAATCTAGTGCATGCTATGTTGAAACCACACTATAGGTAGGAAACAAAGTCAATTAACAGATACAAATAAGCAGTTATTTAACAATGAAAACGAATCTACTGTAACATAAACAACGAAAGCAAAACAAAAATGAGCGAAGAGCTTAAAAATACTAGATAAATCAATTGTTATAAATATTACAACTAAGTATGCCACTTTTATAATCAAATTGTACAAATGATTTAACCATAAGTAGAGGTATCATCAAATATTTTTACATAACAATTTTAAATGTTATTTATTGTGCTTTTACTGTGCGCCACAATGTGCCCAAAATTATCGCCTTAAATGCTTAACGCTGAAATAATGAGAAGTCATATTTTGGTTTATAATATAAACCATTTTAAATTTTTGAAATACCTTAACAAAAAAAGGAATGTGTGTCTAAGGTTGTCACTCGTCAGTCAGGTCATCTATCAGTCACCAGCATCATAGTGCGTAGATCGTGACGCAACTAAAACATTATAACACATTTTATTGTAATAATATCTGTTGTAAAATGTACAATTGTTTATACAGGACTTATCGCTATCAATAGGTGTATAACCTTCAAATGCCCGATGTTTCGGTGATGTTGCACTGGCTATGGGAGTCAGACTGTGACATACGTTAGGAACGTATTTGTGTTATACTATGTATGTAAGAATTACGTGTAGGTATGCATACTATACCTATTGATCGTGGTATTTCCCGTATAAATAAATATAAGTCATGGAATACGAAAGTTTAAAAGTTAGTATGTTGTAAAATGTATTTATTGGGTAATAATATACTCATGAAAATAATTTCAAGTGTTTTATTTATTTTCACTTGTTTATACCACTATAATTTGAATACTAATTTATTTTAATATATCACTTTATTAGATTTTACCCACATTACCTCAAAAACTGAAGAAGGAGAGTAATACATATTTATAGAATGTGGAATATTTAACCAGCCCTCAAATATTCCACACAATTATACAAATACGTACATTTATATTTTTGTACCGATGCTTTTACTTGGCCTGGATGAAGTATTTATAGACTAGTAACTAGTTACATGGTTTTCATAGCGAAGGTTCTGTATGCTGAACTGTAGGCAGGTTTCTATGGTTGGAGCCGCGTTTACGTCAGTCATCAGATCGGCCGAATCGCAAATGTCCGTAGTCATCAAAAGGATCTTCAGCACGCACAGCTCTACGGTTCAAGGTATATTCCCTATATCGTGGGCGGACTCTAAACTCCTCGTCCTCTTCGGGTAGGGCAAAGCTGTGAAGGTTTGCGCTCTCACAGCACCGCATCAGTAGCAACAACGCTACTGAGATCAATACCGCCACTACTGACACAACCCGCATTTTGCAAGCAATGAAGACTCTGAAAATTATAATAATTTAAAATACTAAACCACATCGTCACAAATTATAAAAGCCTATCAACTTACTGCGTTAAGTATGTCTGTATAACGGTTAAAATATGAACACACACCTATAAAAATTTAAAAGGAAATAATAAATGATCTATCGATGCTGTTCCATGTTCGTCATTGATAAGCTATGGTCTTTAAAAAATGGGCATAGTAATCCTTCATCAAACTAGGCAGCTGTGGTAGGCCTAGTGTTCTCCGACAATCAAGTCCCCAGTGTATTTCATGCTGATGGTGAAGAGATGTGAGCCTAATATATGTTTAAATTTTAAGAAAATATGCATATATGAAGCCATGGACAATATGACACGTGGAAGCAAGTCACACTCCAACAGAACCAGGTAGGAATATTAATAAAGAATATTAATAAATAGATTATACTAATAAAGATTTATTGTTTTTTTTTTATTCGTATGTATACAATTGTATGGGAGCACGATCATGCCGTGCCGCATTGTAAAACTTATGTCATGCTTGATTATTATCATCAGTATCAAACTGGTTTAGTCTGTTACCATACACCTCTAATAATAAAAGTCAGAAGCAAAGATCAAAACCGTTCTGAATAATCATCTTAATTTTTAGAACTAGTATAGTAAAGCGTTCAAGGTTTTTTTAATCTGTCAAGTGAGTGAATTTGTTGTAAGGTAAACCAACAGAATTTACAATTAAAAAAAATAGCTTTAAAAGCTAAAAAGCTTTAAAAGCCTAAAAAATAAAAGTACCGACTTGATTTTTTTCTTCATATAGATGTGTCACTATCAAGCATGCATATTTAAATATATCTTTTTGTTCGCACTCTAACTACATCAGAAAAGAAAGTGTAAATTATATAAAGTATCAAGCTTACCTTCTAAGCAGGTGAGCAGATCAGCCAGAAGAATGCGTTGCTCTTGAAAAACCGGTTCTTATATACCAAGTGCTCCCGATGGAAAACATCACTCCCCCTTGTTTAATATTCCCCTCAAAGCCTGTCTGTTCTTATAAAATAATATAGTAATTGACATATTTCAATTACAGTGCTTATAAAAATTGTTGTTTTCAAGACCAGGGAAAATAATTTCAATAATACATTTTCTTAAATTTTCTTCTTTATTCTTTGATGTTATTGTTATTGGGTTACAGAGTTATGATGGGATTTCAGTTTGACAGTGAAAAATTAAAAATTAAGGAATTGAAAATAAAAGTATTTCATAATAATTCAAACAAAGAAGCATAAATAATGTTATAATGTTTTTGAGCAAACATATTTTTGTGTATGTGTGTGGTATAGGTACATGGATGTTTTGCCACTAATAAATATATAAAAGTCAAACGTTGAATTGACATTGTAAAACTGCACGGATGGAGTAGTGGTTTAAGCGGTCGCCACGCCGCTTACTACTTACTACGCTGAGTGTTGTGGGTCCGATCCCCACATGGGACGGACACACGACAGATAATTCGCGACTAATCGCAACACAGTATCATCACATCAACAGCCTTCAATAGTCCACTGCTTTACATAGGCCTTAGAAAGGAGGTTTTGGCCTACTATTTTTTATTTTCATTGCCCGCCGAGTAACAAAACTCATAGTGTTAGTAACAATTTGACTTATAACTATGTTAGTAAATAATAAATAAAAAACACAACCAACACAATGAGATGAACCGATACCTAACATGGCACATAGATAGGTATTATGCTGCAAGTCCAGCAGAAAGTCTGCAACACCGGTTCACGATCGCGCAATCCATTCGGATAGAGATCATTTTTAGAATACTGATGGTGCTGCCCCGCACCCTGCTTACCAGAGACGCGCATCTCTTACGCATTATTGTATAAAAGCAATCCACGCGGGCTTCTGTAAACATCCCGAAGCACTACAGAAACGTGGCAACATCAGCACCCTATTTGCAACGCATTGTTATATTAGACTAGAAGGGCGCTGTATACTTTTATTGTAAAATGAGCCCACAGGCTATAGAATGAAGTATAAAATGCACAGAATAATGCGACTTTGACCACGCTCGAACAGCATGCAAAGCTGCAAGCTACCATGTTAGCACGTACAGACAGCGGCCTTCGCTCCCGTTCGAAGTCATTATCATCTTTGATGTCGGCAGTCAGATTATGCCCTAGATACTTAAATTGGTTTACTCTCAATAGAGGAACTTCGTTCAGTTTAATGATAGGCATCTCAACAGCAACACCACTGCCGCCGGCCTGAAAGACCATAATCTCACTCTTTTTTGCATTGTACACAAGTCCATGCTGTAATGCATACCTTTCGAAAATTCTCAACAGCTTGCTGAGGCCACAGGGCGACGCACTAAGCAGCACCATGTCTTCTGCATAGCTTATATTATTAAAGCACACTCCATCTATGTGGCAGTCTATCCTGGTGCCGCTAAGCTCCTCAATCAGCTCATACATGTACAGGTTGAAGAGCGTGGACGATGTCAACCCTCCTTGTCTCACCCCGCACTCCAACCCATACACATCAGATCTGACCCCTGCCCACCTGACATCATTGACCTGGCCTCCATACCAGAACTTGATGATATTAAGTAGTTCTCTTAGTAATTTAGCATCATCCAGCTTTTTCCACCGATTGTCGAATGAAACCAGGTCAAAAGGTCTCGAGAGGTTGAGAAATCCAAACCAACTGCCGGTAAAATACATATATGGGGGCATATATTTTACCAGCAGTTGTTTTACCATACGACACCCACGTCAAAAATTTGTGTTTGGCCTCCCTGTGTGCCTCGCTTACATGTTTATTCCAAGCGATTACAGTACGCATTTGCTTCCACTTTTTATTTTCACGGCCTTTAGCCACTGATTCGCTCAAAGCTACAACAATGTCATGATACATTTTATCAATAATAGGCCTGTGCTCTAATTCTGGTATTGGTATTAGTATTGGTTGTGGGCTTCGGTTTCCGCATAAAGACTCAACAGTGGTCCGTTATGCGTCGAGGACTGCTTAGCTAGGTGAGCCAACCAAACTCTTTCCAGAAGCGCAGAAGCATCCTGGGGCGTTCACAGGCTTCTAGAAGCGATTTTGTGTCAGGTATGATACTTGCCCGGTGTGAGGCCACTCCCTCGCATTCCAGGACTACGTGGGCGGCCGTTTCTTCTGCTTCCAAACATCCCTTGCACAGTGGGCTGTCCGTCACATTGATGATGAATAGTTGTCGGTTCAGGGCTAGGTGTCCTGTTATAGTACCGACAACTATTCGGATTTCCGGTCTGCTAAGACTAATCAATCTGCAGGTGAGTCGTGGTGTGACTTGAGTCAGCACAGGTTTGGACTGTCTGCAGCCGGGTGAGTTTTTCCACCTCTGGTTGTGTGGTTCACGAGTCCATTGACTGGCCCAGAATCGTATTTTTGGTATCGTATGGTTGGGCCGGTAGCTGGGGTTGCCGAGCCCCTCCTTGCCAACATATCTGCGGCATCGTTCCCGTGTGAGTTACTGTGCCCTTTAATCCATCGGAGGAGTACCACATTTAATGTGGCAAGCTGCTTGCCACATTAAATTGTCCGGTTCTGGGTGTAGAAAGTGGGCATGTTTGTTCAAAGCAATCGTTAAGTGTCTGTGTAAGGTTGACAACATGACTGTCGATGTCCTTAACAGTCCCCGGAGCATATCTTGAGTCAATGGTCCTCAGTTTCTCCGCAGATGCTCATACCGGTTCCGGTCCATCATGCGGGGATTCCGTCGGGTAGTTTTAGATTTATTTCAAAGTTTAATTTGATCCAGCGATGGTCCGAGCACGATGCTTTGTTCGAAACATGCCAGTTCGATATGTGTTGCGATGCGTGCTCACTCGCTAAAGTTAGGTCAATGATAGATTGGGCCCTGGATGTGACAAATGTTCTCCGAGTCTATGTTAATAATGTTTAGCTCAGTTGATAGTAAGAACGATACAAATTCTTCACTTCTCCGGTTGTTGCTCGTGCTACCCCATAGCGCATGGTGCGCGTTGGTTCGGCAGAGACGATCAGCTCCAGACCCTCGCGCTCTAATGCTGGACCGAGCCATAAAGTGACTCTCCGCCGAGCCGAGCATGGGTGTGCGTTTTAGCGGTCCTAGGGAATAGGCCGAGGGGGCTGTTTACTAGCTGCCTCTATAATAGCGTATTCCCTGCAGGCTGGAAGGAAGTCAGGCTGGTACTTATCCAAAAACCTGCCAGGGTTGCAAATTTTATCTCGAGGTTCTGACCGATATGGTGGACGAGGTGGCGAAACTCTTTGAAGTATCAGCCAGCACCTGTCCGAGTGGACCCCGACTTATCAGACAACCAATTTGGCTTCCGACAGGGACGCTCGACGCTGGACGCGATCGAACGCGTTTGCTCCTTGTCGGAAGAGGTTCTTCTGTCTGTCGGGGGGGAGTGACGTTGGCGGTCAGTCTTGACATAGTCAACTCCTGTAACTCTCTCCCGTGGTGGGCAATTAGGAAGGCACTTGTGCATCACTAGTTGCCTGCCTACTTGAGGGACATCATCAGGGTTTTTCTCCGCGACAGGCCCATATTGTACATGGGTCGGGACGGCAAAGATTGCGGAAGGGAGGTCACATGCGGTGTTCCCCAGGGGTCAGTCTTAGAACCTCTTCTGTGGAACCTCGCGTATGATGCCGTCGACGACACTCAATCCTGGGGAAGGCTGGTTCTCAGGAGAGAACCAGCCTTCCCCAGGATTGAGTGTCGTCTGCTATGCGGTTGCCACTCTTGTACTGACTAGGGGGCATGGCTTCCGGGAGGTCCTGGAGCTCGCCGAGTCAGGGGTGGCTTGTGTCGTCCAAAAGATCAGCGGTCTGGGTCTAAAGATTGCACCTCATAATACGGAAACAGTTGCAGGTGCAGTTCCCACCCACTCGATTATTAGAGTGGGGGAAACAGAGGTCGAGGTCGGTCGGCACATCAAATCCTCACTCGTCGGCA